CATTTCGCTTGTAAAGTAAGAAGACAAGGGTTGTACTAGCAATCTTAATGCAGGGGGACCTGTTACCTGGATGGAGGAGCAACTTTGAAATAAATGAGCTGGCTCCCAACACAGAAGAGAGGCACAAAATTTGAGAGGGGTGAATTTCCTTACAAGTTAAATGAAATCTCTGCAGTCATGGGGCGCATGACTATATATGGATGCTAGCAACCACATAAACATCAGGGGCTAGATTCACCGGAGTTCTTCTCTCTCTCTCTCTCTCTCTCTCTCTCTCTCTCTCTCTCTCTCAAATTGAAACAGACCAGTGTGAGTGTAAAGTTCTTAGCTTGATAACTGGTCAGTGTTTACTCAAAGTGGACTTTTAATGTTGCAGTCAACATCTGAGTGAAGACAGTGGGCTAGATCCTGGTCTTTGTTCCAACTGCTGTGTGTGCCACTCAAGCAATATAAGAGGCAGAACGCCAGTTTAAACTTTATTCCTCTGGAATACGAGAACCACAGATGGTGTAGAGTCAGCGTAGTGTTGAACTTTTGGCTAGGAAAAGGGGGTGTTTGGGAGAATTGTAGCAGTTCTGTCCTCTAGGGATCCTCAGCTCAGGACAGCCTCCTGGGGGCCATTAAAGCCAGGAATAAGTTGGAGCAGACTAGTGGCTGCTCTGATTTCCACTGGGGGCCAAACTAGTGCCTCTAGCTGGCCCCAAGATTGGTAAGGTGCAGACGTAGTATAAAGCCTCCTTTGAAAGCCCCTGGGCCCTGTGCGAAGCACAGCTGAGCTACTGTGGCCCTAGGCACCCCTGTATTCACAACCTACACACTACTGCAATAATATTGTACAAAACATGTCTTGTGAGGTTCCATATGAAATCTAACACATGCTGGTTATTAATATAATTGTAAAATGCATCTGTTAACCTTATATGTGAAGTTATGGATTCCCTGTGTATGATGTTACTAGAACATGTTGAAGACAAGACAGTCTAGTCTAGGTACAGGTGATAAACAGGTCTGTCCTAGACAGAGGAATGTGGGTTTACCTCAATTTACATATTAGCAGTAAACAAAGCCATCAAGCTAACCCAGCATGGTTATCCTGAACTTGAGAGAGAAAGAATTAACATGGCTTCTGCATCCCAGACAGACACGGGAGATTGAATCCCCAAAGCAGCCTTCTTGACTTCTAAGACAAAGACATGCCTTAGGGATATAAAGAACAGAGCGTGACTCCATCTTCATCCTTCACCTTAGGGGACAAAGAAATCAAGTGATTTGATCCCTATGAGGATCCTGGGCAGGAAAAGGCTGGAAAGGAGACTGTGGGTGAGAGAACAAAGACTGTATTTCTATATTAAGTTTTAGACTTTTAGATGCATGCTTTCACTTCTATGTACTTGTAACCATCTCTACCTTTAGCTCTTTTACTTGGGATTGAGTGATACCTGCTCTTTTGTTAATAAACTTGTTTTACGTTCATAATAAATCTTCAGTGCTGTGTAAGTTCAGTAAAGTGTGTGCTTCTAGAAAGCCGACAGGTTGGAGTGTTGTATTCTGTAAAGGCCGTGAACCAAACACTTCCTCTCATTGCACCCTCACAGAGAGACTGGTCCCTGAAGAAGGACGATTTAGGGGTGAATTCAGAGCTTGAAGGGTACTAATGTCAGCTTGGGAGGAGTAACCAGGTTGGGCAAAGCCAGGGTGAGGCTTGTGGGCTGCAGCCAAGCTGTTGAGGTCGGAGCTCTGGACCAAAGATGCACAGTCCTTCTTAGTTTGAGTTCTTTGCCTCTCAGGTACTTGGGGTTGCTCTTTTATTTTCGTAACTAAGCACAATAGATCATGTTGGGAAGTCCACAGTAGGCCGATAAGACAGAAGTAACCAAAGAAGTAACCCCCTACCCCCCACACACACACTCATTGTCCTTTCCTATCTCTACCCCTTCCATTGTCTCTTAAACATGTGGGTGTTTCTCACCGTGACTATAGTATAGTCCAAAGAAGGACCCTACAAAGATAATACCCTTCCCAGGAGCAGGTCATGTGATCAGTTATTGGCGATCACATCACACTTCAGATTTTTTTAGATGAGTTGTAGCTTCTGTTGCTGGGGTGTGCCAGATGTCTGTCAGTACTCATTGTCTGAAGATAGATGCAGTCTTTGGTTTGGTTTGTTTACCCTGGTTTTATAAGTTGGAGGCAATGGAGGTCTAAATTTAGCTCTCGGTACTAGTAGTTGCTATTAAGTTGTGCAGAGCTCTCATTGTTCTGCGTGCTCCGGCCCTGGACCACATACCTTGGATTAGTCTGAAATGATCCCCTCTGGCTGTGATGGAGGCTGATATATTGAAGGACTCTGAAGACGGCCACTTCCATTTTCACTGGAAGAGCCAAAGAGAAGATCTTCTTATTCTATGAACAGAAGCTGTATTTAGTGATATTTTTTTTTCTTTCATCTGTTGTAAAGAATGGGAGCAGTAGGACTATAGTAATGAAAGCCGCGGAGCCCTCTGTCTGTGAAAGTGTATTGATTTTAAGGTATGTGCAAAATTAGATTTAAAGAGCTTGACAATGTCCTTTTAAGAAGTGCTAGATGCTGTGCTCCTAGATTCTTTGGAGCCCAGGTAGTCCATAAAACGACTACAAAATCACATATCCTATTGCTCAGAGTCTGCGATAGACTGAGTAATGACACTTAATCAGATTGGAACAAAAGGGTACAACTGTACCGCAATCACTCCTGCCGTTAGGGACTGGGTTTTATTATTATTTCTTTCAGAGTTCAGCTGGATTTAGCTAAAGGGGCAAAATACAAATGCTCAAGCCAAAAGAATCAGTTTTCATTTTCAGTGAGCTGCTGAAAGGTTCTGTACTATAACAAGGAAGCTGCTTGAGGTCACAGAAAATAAGGACATGGAAGTTGTACCACAGCCTGTTTGTGATTGTACTCTGTGGTTCAGTGTAATGGATGGGGGAGGGGAGAAGGATGGAAGGAAAAACAATATTCAGATTTCCAGGCTAGACCTCTATACTGGTTAGAATATGCATATATGATACTGCAGTATACATTCCCAGCCACAGTTGGAGAGCTTTTCTGAGAGTGCCTTTTGTGTACAGTCTAGAAGGTATGTAAGATTGCAGATTGAGAATGCAAGGGGAAAACTATAATTATAGGCAAGGAACAGCTGCTCAAAACTGTCCTACTGGCAAACACTTGAGCTGCATTATAATATTTCTGTGGCAGCCTTTTGGTTGTAACACTTAGTCCCTCAGCTGGTTGTTTTCCATGTTTAAACTGGACAAGTACTTAGTGTTTGAGTTATAACTATTAGTTATAATATGCAGGAGTGATGAATGAACTCATGTCATATATAGAAAAGCTGTGCTGATGCAACTTAAGATGGATTTATTTCATACATGAGAGAACAGTCCTTGATCTAGACATTTGGTCTGATTCTCCTTTCATTTAAACTGGAGTAAACCAGGGGTAAGTTTAAGTTAAATGGAGTAAAGCTGGTATAAGTGAGAGGAGAATCAGACTAGTGTATGGGTCAGTCTCTTGCAAAGTGGACAAGTAGAATGTTGCAAGGGAGAGCACTGGGGTTTTTAGCAGGCAAGCAAAACATTGTTTTGTTTGTGTGTTTGTTTTTTTCATTATCTCCAGTCCTCGTGGTAATAGGTGGGTAACTAGATGTTGCTGGTAAACTTTCATTGCACTTTTGCAAGGTGTTATAGCTGTATGATGCATCTCCTAAGGGAGTTTCAGAGGGTGACGGGCACCTATCTCCTTTAGGAACTTCTGAAAAATCTCACCTGTAAAGGAAAGAGCACTAATTTTGAGTTTTCATTTCTTCTGCATGCATTGGAAACCTATGGATCATGTCAGTTGATTGCCAATAGAGGATTCTCTTCCCCAGACTCAGTATTCATACTTACCTCTACAAGAAAAAAAATCATGTTCTGAAAAGACCGGACACATTTTGCTCTGCCCAGCAGTCCTAGTTCACCAAAAACTATGCAAAATACTTGCCAATAAAGGGGTTGGGTTCCCCTAGATACTTCTTCACATTTAATTACTCAGATGCATAGTTTGTGTGTATGTGGGGCCTTCAAACCACATTACCTATCTGCTGCTCGTCAGCTGAAGGGAATGCGTCTAGCAGGCAAAAATGAGGTCTTGGCCTGATCCATCCTTTTTCTTCAAGCTACTTTAAAGAGACCACACAAGTTGTGGGAAGAGAGAACACAAATTCCTCCAGGCTACGGGCAAAGGGAGTAATGCTGCTTCCCCCCCGCCACCTGGCTCCCTTCCTAATGTTTGACCCTTTTACTGCCTTTTTCATACATACCTCTCCAACCATCAGCGGCAGCCATCTTTTATGCTCCTCCACATTTCCACACTCCAGCTCTGGCACCCCTGATTCCTTAGCCCATGACCAGATGCCACTCATGCTCACTTGTCTGTCCCCTCCCAACCCAACTCCCGGTTTGGGGAGTGATTTATGAGCCATTGGATGGCCCAGGGGACTGATAAGATGGAGTGAAAATGACTGCGTGTGACCTATGTGAAATGAGTTTGGAGTGGCAATTGGCATTAACCAGCCAACTTGTTGGCAAAGACATCAAAGATCCAAGCAGTCATGAAGACTTGAACTACCCCTCATCTTTAGACTTGCTCTCCTCAGGTCTGGGTTGGTGCAGACTGGTGAGACTATATGGGGAAGCTTGTGCTGCTGCTGCTCATGCTGTTACGTATATGTTGTGTGGTTAAATACAGAACATCATTCTATGGCAGTGTCAGTCTGGTACCTGAATAGAATGTTACCGTGTTTTAAGCAATGTAATGTTAATTATTTTCGGAAGCCAATGAATAAATGACCACAAGTATTTTGGATCTGAATCTCCTCCACTGAATCCATCACTTTTCATTGCCTATGATATCATGAAGTATGTTTTCATGTCCTTTGCTTTTTTTAGACTACTACCTCAATATAGCAGATGAACCTACCTCTCCTAAGAAGCCTAAGAATGCCCCTGAGCACTATGACTTTGAGAGCAGGTGTTCAGCCCTTTCCTCTGATTGGACTTCTGTGAGAATCATCCCAGAGGAAGAAATGACAGAGCACAACCTTCTGGCCATTCGAGTCATGGTAACCAGTGATGGGAGCAGGTATATAACCTATAACAAAAAATCCACCACAAAGCTGGGTCTGTTTCTCCCAGGAACAAGTTAACCACAAAATGCAGTGCCTGGGTTTCTTCAGACTGTGCTCATAAAACAATTGAATATGGCATACAACAAAAACCCAACAGAGAAATCAATGGTAGTCCTTCCTGCAGCTGTTAACCTCCCCTAGACATATGACCCGCTTAGCAGGGAATTTTCAGATGTTCACATCCCATCCAAGGGCCTGAGTCACATGATCCCTGATCTAACCAAGTTCAGCTATTCATTTTCCAGAAGTGACAGTATATCAATTAGAACAGTGGGAGTACAATGGCAAAAGTGAGTCACATGACATGCCTCCTACCTCTGAGAGGCTTCCCTGCCTCAGTTGTTCTTCTGGTAATATGATGGGACTTTCCATCCTTATGGAATTAGAAATCTGATCATCCTTTGAGACTTTTGTAAGGAAGCCCAAGTCTTATATAAAAATGGAGAGAACATCTTAGACTTCTGTGCTCAACTCTTGACAGAGTCCTGTAGGAGTCAACTTGCACCTCTACAATAAAGGCTAGATCTGCATTTTTCAGTGAGAGCAATTCTGCCGACTTAAAATAAAAAATCTGTTGCAAATGCAAAAATCTTTGGTTAATAAGGAGCATTATTAAAATTATAGAAATCCTTTAAAATATCCATTAACATTCTTTTAGCGTTTGCTAAAACTGGATAATGTGGTCTTAGAAAATAACTTATTTCCTACGAATGTCTTGCATAACTCTGCACTGTGACACATGTCTGGCTATATCAGCTAATGTGCATTTCAGACAGAGGGGGAAAAAATCCATTCCAGGATTCATCTGTTACTGCCACAAGGGTAAACATAACTCAGGGGAGGAAGAGATAAAACATTTTGTAGTATGGAGGCTTACTGTGCATTATATGCTTGGAACCGACAATAATACAGTGTACGGGACAAGGCGGATGACGTAGTATTTTTGTATTGGACCAACTTCTGTTGGTGAGAGAGACAAGCTTTTCTACGGCTGTGTAAGCTCTCTAATATTCTAGGATGGACATGGCTACAACAACATTGCATACAATAATACAGTGTGGCTGTTTGTCCTCTCCGGTGGCTGGACCACATGCAGATGTTTGAATCTGCTACAACTCTGACCTGATGTATCCGGTCCTTTTGCTCAGGCAATAGAGACTTATGCTTTCAGATCCAGAGGTCTTTGATTTAGTCCCAGCAGGAAACCCAGCCTAGGATGGCGTTGCATCTGTCATCAGAATGGCTTGTGCCAGCTCTGCTGATAGCGCTTTCCTGGTATTACACTAAAGCTGTAATCATTTGCCTGACATACTAGAGAGGGTACTTCAGTCAGTAGATACTTCACTTGCCTAAAAAGGGAGGCAAAATGAAATGGCAAGTGACAACTGACATTCCATGATTTAACGGTGCATTCTGCCCATGGGATTCTCAGTGGGAAGGTGCAAATGAAAAGCTAGGTAAAATATTACTTGCATCACAAGGGCCATTCCTTCTTAGTACTAGCTTGAGATACTTATGAATAATGACCATCTAATGAGTGAAGATCAGAGGACAAACCTCATACTGTGGTATTTATACTTTTGCCAGCCAAGGAAAATAAATACTTCAGTGGGGGAGATTGTCCTTTTAAACAAAAATATATTTATCAAAACTAGTGGCATTTCCATTTTCTTTTCTTATGGCACAGTGCCCAATCACAGTGGTCTATCAATCTCCATTAATTATCTTGACTATCAAAGACTTAAACAGGGTTTAAATAAAAATAGTTTTCAGGCTTTGTTCGTTTACTAGAAATCAAATCTGATGCTCTAAGAGGAATCCATCAGCTATTGCAGGGGCGGGCAAACTTTTTGGCCTGAGGGCAGCATCGGGTTTTGGAAATTGTATGGAGGGCCAGTTAGGGGAGGGGGGCATGGCCCGGCCCTCCCCCGCCCCCCGCTTCTTGCCCCCTGACAGCCCACCCCTGGGACTCCTGTCCCATCCAACCCCCCCTGTTCCCTGACAGCCCCCCGGGACTCCTGCCCCATCCACGCACCCTGCTCCCTGCCCCTGACCACCCCCAGAATCCCTGCCCCTGACTCCCAGGCTGCCCCATCCAACCCCCCAACCCCTTCCTGACTGCCCCCCTGGACCCTTGCCCCCATTCAACCCCCCTGTTCCCCGCCCTCTGACCGCCCTGACCCCTATCCACACCCCCACCCCCTGACCACCACCCCGAACTCCCCTGCCCTCTATCCAACCCCCCTGCTCCCTGTTCCCTTACCACGCTGCCTGGAGCACCGGTGACTGGCGGCACTACAGCCATGCAGCACAGAGCACTGGGTCAGGCCACAGCTCTGCAGCTGTGATGCCCCAGGTGTTCGCAGCCCCGCCGTCCAGAGCATTGCACTGGTGGCAGGGTGAGCTGAGGCTGCGGGGGAGGGGGAACAGCAGGGGAGGGGCCTGGGGATAGCCTAGGGTGACCAGATCACACAGGTGAAATATCGGGATGCGGGGGGCGGGGGGGGGCGGAGCAAAAAAAAAAAGCCGGTGGTGGAGCAAAAAAACCCAGCCACCGGAGCTCCACGCCCCGCCCCCCCCACACACCAGTATGCCTCCGCTCCGTCTCCACCTCCTCCCTCCCTCCAGCGCTTGCGCCGCCATACAGCTGATCAGCGCAAGCCTGGGAGGGAGGGGGGAGGAGGAGGAATGCAGCGTGCTTGGGGCAGAGGCGGGGCCAGGGTGGGGATTTGGGGAAGGATCCAATGGGGCAGTGAGGGGGCGGAGCTGGGGGCGCAGGGCCAGGGTGGGGATTTGGGGAGGGATCCAATGGGGGAATGAGGGGGCGGAGTTGGGGTGGGGGGCGTGACCCCCCCTCCAGGCTCCGCTCGTGAGCGGAGGCAAAATATTGGGACAATTCACTTCCTGACCGAAGGTAGGTCGGGATGTGGGACAAATAAGCAAATATCGGGACAGTCCCGATAAAATCGGGACATCTGGTCACCCTAGGCTAGCCTCCCAGGCCAGGAGCTCAGGGGCCGGGCAGGAGGGTCCTGTGGGCCAGATGTGGCCCACGGGCCGTAGTTTGCCCACCTCTGCTTTAAGGGTAGTGAGGGGGGTTGTAGCCTTCTGCTCCTCCAAAATTTCTCTACCTCACTTTCCCCGTCTCATCTTCTTCCCACACTGTCTGTGCTACAACCATGAACTATCCACTCCTCAGGACAAGGGCTCACTGAGCACCCTGTCTACTCCTAACAAATAACAATGCACCAGGCTCATGCCAGCCCAGGGCTGTTAGATGCACGAATAGGGTGTTAATGCCAGTTCCCAGGCGGTCATGAGACAGACTTCAACAACCACCAACTTCATTCATATCTAAAGCCTGCCCTGTGGTTGCCTGGGGAATTGGAATAAACTTCCTGGATGGGCCTGACTCTCCGGCTGGATTTGCCAGGGTTCGTGCAGCAGTGGTTCTTGTCATGTAAGGCGGCGGGAGGGGGTTCCCTGGCATAGCCCCAGGGAACTCTAAGGAGGAGTTTGGGTGGTGGTGGCCCCTGGGTTAGCCCCACTTGGGAAAGCTTTTTAGTGACATTACTCTGCCTTCATTCATCTGTGTGGACAGGCAGACATGGTGAAAACCTGCCTTTCTACTCAACTTCAGCTTTGTTTATGCTAAACCATTTTCTGAACCAAATACAAATTGAACCAACTCTTAGTATCCTGAAAATGTCAGGTTAAAACCCCGATTCTGGGTGTATTCATGCTCAACCCAAATCTGAAACACCGGCCTAATGTCTAATTGCGTTTATCATTGTGCTGTATTTAGCATGTACCATTAAAATCGGAAAGTAAAAATAATAATAATAATAAATTATTCTTCTTCTTCTTAAGGAAAAAGCCAGAAATTATATTCACGTTACCATTATATCTTGTTGCTAGCATGATGGGCATTAGACATTCAGGTATTTCCCCCTCTTCGTTTAACAGCAGACTTGTAGGAAGACACACTTAACTTGTTCAGGACAAAGAAGACCCACTCTAATTCAAAAGGAGACTCTGACTCTCAGCAGCAGATTTCAGGCTTTGAATATAATTGTCCATGGCTATCATGGTCTTAATCAGAGTTATAAAACTATTGGGACTATTGCAGTTTTCAGGACATAGTATTGTCAGCAAATTACATTTCCAGAGCAAAAAATAAATGTGGGGATGGAGGCCAGCTGTAAAAAGTCACATTATATCTTTGCTGTCAGGATTTATTGCATTAAAGGTGATACTTGTAATTAAATCCATAGCATGTGTTTTCTAAAATGTTTGACTTTCTCATTTTATTTTATATTTTTAGTTCAGAGCTGGAATCTGATTTTTATGGTGACTCATCGAATTCTGAAATTAGTGAAGGACAGATCTCATTGCCTGAGCCTGTGTCCTATACAAACCCCATAAGAGAGCATGCATCGCTGACCACCAGTTCTGTGAAGGAAGAAGAGTGCTGTGAAAAGTCCAAAGCTGCTGATGGTAAGTAAATCCACTGTAAATAAACTAGCCCAAGCAAGTTATGCTCCAGCTACTTAGCCTGTTTGCTGTTTCTGAGGGTGTTGTCAAAGCAGATAGGATCTTGTTGGTATTATCAGTGATGCAGTAAGTTTATAACCTATAAATACTATCTTAATTCTTTGGAAGACTTCTTGTGACGGTTCACTGCCTCTAGATACTGTAACAGGATCCAGCAAAATCCTCTTTTCCCTCTTTACATATTGTTTCAATCAAATAACTAAACCCCTATGAACCAGCAGTGTGAACGTAGGCTCACGTAATGAAGGAACTGTTCAGTCCAGGGCACTGCAGAATTCTTAATTCTGATCTTGATTCTAAATAGTGTCGTGAGAGTTTGCACAACAATTAGGGTTGCCAATTTTGGTTGGACGTATTCCTGGAGGTTTCATCACGTGACATCTTTAATTAAAGATTTATCTTTAATACCTGGAAACTCCAGGACATTCCTGGACGGTAGGCAACATTAACAACAATAGGAGTATCTTATCTACCCTAGAGGGCTCTACAGAAACAGACAACAATGCCTTGGTATCAAGGTACCTAAAGCAGTTCTGTCCCCATGCTTAACTCATGAGATGAATCCTTTCCTTGTGACACAATGTCGGGACACTCCGATAGAGGCCCATATAATACATGCTGTGTTGCCTAGGCATAGCAGGGCTGAGTCAGAGTCCTCACGGGAAGCAAGGAGGGTGCTCAATTTAATTTATTTCTAGATCTGTGACTGATTAGGAGTTTTTTTCCATTGAATGACTCCATTGGGGGGAGGGATAGCTCAGTGGTTTGAGCATTGGCCTGCTAAACCCAGGGTTGTGAGTTCAATCCTTGAGGGGGCCACTTAGGGATCTAGGGCAAAATCAGTACTTGGTCCTGCTAGTGAAGGCAGGGGGCTGGATTCGACTCAATGACCTTCAAGGTCCCTTTCAGTTCTAGGAGATAGGATATCTCTATTATATTTATTTAAAATATAATGGGGGAAAGGTTGTAACCAGAGTGAAGGCGATTAGACACTCAGGAGCTGTATAGATAGGCGGTTCTATCTGGAGCCAGAGTTCAGAGGAGAAATTCAGAACTGGAACTTGTTTAATAATTAAAAAAACACAACTGTCTCTGAAGAGCTATTGCCAACTAGTAGGGGCTATATCATGTTGTGTGGTTCAGTCATAACAATCTGAGGCCTTGAAGGAGCCTTTGTGGGTCATGGCAGAAGAAAGGGGCTTGGCCAGGGTTTTGATCTGTTTGCGCAATCTGGAAGGGTTAACACTAGAATCTGGAGGGCACTTTTCAAGAACTTGTGGCAGAACAAGAACAGAGGTAGATAAATCTCCATTGCTGCACGATTTCCACCTACCAGCAATAGTAAAAGAACTGGAGTAGCCTCCAGCAAGTCTTGGAAAAGGAATACTGTTCTGCTTTTAAAGGGAAGTTCAAACCCCGTCCCCTCTTAACACAAAGAAGCCAAGTGCAGCCAGCCTGAAATATGTGTAACACAAAGAAGCCAAGTGCAGCCAGCCTGAAATATGTGTAACCCCCCAACTTCTCCAAGCTCATTATCAGAAGCAAGCTCCCCACAGACCAGGACTCACCAACTCAAAGCGGCACCAGGCCCTGCCAGAACAGATGCAAAACCTACATATATATCTCCACTGTTATGATGATCAACACACCTTTCAAGATCCATGGATCCTACACATGCCTATTACAACATGTGGTATACTTCCTCCAGTGCACTAAATGCCACAATAACAGGTGAAATCAGACAATCACTACACTGTCGAATGAACTCTCATAGGAAAATGATAAAAGACAAAAACACCTGTGGGTGAATACTTCTCATAGAGCAATTGCTCTATATCTGACCTATCAGGCCTCATACTCCAAGGAAACCTGCACAAACTTCCAAAAGACGAGCTTGGGAGCTTAAATTCATTACTCTACTAGACACGAAAATCATGGACTGAAACAGAGACACTGGATTTATGACTTATTACTACAATCTGTAACCCACTAACCCCCTCTTTTTGTCCTACGACTTCAGAGGAGTTAACAGGTCACCCAACCCTGAATGATCCCTTACAATATATGCTAAACTATTTATGCTAAACAACCTGTTCCACCTTGCATTTTGCTGTGATGCTCGGAGTACCTTTGCCAGAACAAGCTCTGTGTAGCTTGAAAGCTTGTCTCTTTCTCACCCACCTTGTCTCAGTTTGAAATATCTGCAATTAATGACATAGAACCCTTGGCTGCAGCATAAGTATGGGATCTGGAGGAGATGGAGCAAGAAAATGATTCAGCAGGTGTTTTCATTTGCAGATTAGATGATGCAGGCGGGAACCAATAACTTGGTTAGCTGCAGTGGCTGGATAGTAATCAGGATGGATTTGGGATGGGTGAAACTTTTCTGCTGGGCTAGGGGAAAAAAAACAGACAGAGGTGATGTTGAATAGGTAGATAAATTGTTAGAGGGAAAAATAAAAGAAAACCATCGTTTAAGATTAAAGGAGGTAGGAAAGAAGGATGGTATAAGAGTAAACGAACCAGAACGCAAAACAGGAATGAAAAAGAGTGAATGCCAAAATGTCAGGAAGCTTTTGCTGTTTCCCCCTGAGCTCTAACCTCTTATCCTGTCTCTTCCCCAAGAACACCTTTCTACCAAGGGTCCCAGGCATAACCACCAGATACTACTGAATTAGCGCCATTAATGTGTGGACCAGATATTTACCATTGCAAAGGCCTGGTTTTGCTATTTTTACCTGGATTTAACATGACCTGGCCTCTGTGCAGACTGTATTGTAACCAGATTTATGAAGCTGCTTTTACTTTAGGCCTAGTCTGTGCTTTGTGTGTTCAGTTTCTAAAGGTTGTTAGAAGAGGATAAAATCTGCTAACGCTCCTGGATGTCATAATGTTGTTTCAACTTAATTTGTATATTTAAAATATGTGGATACGTTAAACACAACCGTATTCCTGGAATTCTTAACAGATTTTACTTTTAAATAGGAGCACTTTATAGTTTGTAATTGACTGGGTTCTTTAATTCCCCCCTCCGCCCTCCCCACTCCCCATCCCCACCCCCACTTCACTGTGTTCCAAGCTTCTACTGCCTTTAATGGGAGGTTGCTGAGAGGAATACCATGTAGCATTAACTCCTCCCACTATTCCTTCATGTGAGGGGACTCTGCCAGCATGTGACATAGTGGCAGTGAACTCTCAGGGAAGTAATCTGGTTTAAAAAAACCCCCAAAAGCATGTTTAATACAAAAGGCAAAGAATCTTGCATATCTTGTTAATTAACTGTTTTACTAAGGAGTTCCTTGTTTAGTGCAACAATGAATCACAACGCATGCCCACCAGAACATGTCCACATGTAATATAATGAGGGCAGTCCTCTCTCCCACTCCATTCTATCCAAACTACTGCTTCTAAAGTCATCTTCCTCTCTAGTCCCTCTCTAGTCTATATCTGTCTTCATGTTCACTGAAAACCTGCGCAACACTTTCAAAAGACAAGCCTGGGAGCTTAAACTCATAACTCTGCTTGACACTAAAAATCAGGGACTGCATAGAGACACTGAGTTTATGACTTATTAGAACAACCTGTAACCCACAAACCCCCTCTTTTTGTCCTATGACTGCAGAGGGGTTAACAGGCCACTCTACTATGAATGGTCCTCACATACAAGGTACTACATACTGTCATCCCCCACCTGCATCTTTGCCCTCTGTCACCCCAATTTTCTCTTTCCCTTTGTCCCCTTCTTCCCCAGTATGCATGAGGTTATGTTCCTGCTCTCTCATTCTCTGTGTAGCTATGAGGTGAAGCCAACATTCTTTCTGGGTTAAGCTGTCCGAAATTAAGTTTACTGCATTTTGTGTATCCCTATGGAAAGGTTAAATACTTTTTAAAAAATAAGCCACTGTTTGGACACTGGGCTTTTTTCTTTGGTGGTTAATATACCAGCACATGAGTAAGAGAAACAGTGACCACACTAGACATGAACTATGCAATACAAATGGGCTTCTGTGATGTAAACAATTTGGTAAAAGTTAACTATAACATATGAAGGAGAATGCAAATAAAATAGTTGTAAGGATTGGCTTTGTGGTTAGCACTTGTTGGTGAGTGTTGCCCTCTATTGGCAAAAGTCTGCATTTTTTTAAATGCAGCTGCTTGCACACCAGCTGCTCAGAGCAACTGGTTAAAAATCAAGCCTAATGATTTTACAGAGCAAAAAATGTCATGTTGCAAGTCCTGTTACCTTACAATAGTGAGAATTATTTTCTCAGTGGTTCAGCATTAGGACACACTGCCCCTCAGTTTACTCTTCACCGAGGTCTCTGCCTGGGGTAGGATTTTACTTCAGCAAAACAACAACAGGAGGCAGGTGCAGGGTGGAGGTGATTTGGAGGGCAGAAGCAGCAGGGCTCCAGAGAAGAGGGGGAATATGCACTATGCACTCTGTCTGTCTGCTTCTTTCAGAATAGAACAATTACAACGTTCTGTACTGGCATTATGACTCTCTTACCATGTTTAAACTAGTTTTATACAAAGTCTAGTTTTGTAATAACTCTCTCTATTTGCTTAGCTTGTTAACAATGTCTCTTTCCTATTTCTCTGAAGCACTACAAAGAGCCAATAGTTTCCACTCCTCTACACTGAATAAATACCAGAATTGGAGAAGAAAAATTCAATCTAGTAAGTAAAGCCTTAGAATCAATTGAATTTTCTATTTGTTCAGTAGCCTTTGGTTGTATTCCTCTTACTCAAAGGCCTGTTTAGTTACCTTTTATGGTAGGAACTGGGTTAAAGTTGTATGTATTTGAGCCTTTCCTAGTAATAAAGAAGGAAATGGAGAATTTAAAAGCCCAGAAAATATAAAACAGACTCCCATCTTGTGTGATTGTTTCTTAAATAGTGGATTATTCTACTGAACAATGTACTCTGTCATGTGTACAGTATGTATTATGACTCATTCTTTTGCAATTCCAGTACTCAAAGGATCAGTCATTAAACTTATATAGTCTGGACTCTGGGCAGCCTTGGCTGCATATATAGTCTAAATGCTTGTATGAGGAAAGCTCAGTGATCATTGTGCAATCCCCTTTGAAGTTACATAGTTACGATTTAAGGCTGTGTTTTGTGTGTGTTGGTCTCCTTAGTCCACAGCCTCTCATGATTTACACAGAAGAAGTAGAAAAAGGAGGTTTTAAGGTAAGAGGTTTTAAGGCTTCTGACTCAGAAGCAGTTTGGTGAGACAAGGCTGCACAGCATCACCTCAGACTAGGGAAGGCCATGATGAGTCGACATACATACAGCTGGGATGTGGAAGTGTGGCGTGAGCAGAGCATTGGGAAATGGATAGGAAACCACTGGAGGTGATTGAGGGCGGTGGCGATATGTTCCTATGGTGTGGCTGCAGCACTCGATCAGAGGATTAGGAAAACCCTGGGAGAGGGGTTTGAAGAAGGATTTCAGCATAGACAGAGTGAAGGTAGGTAAGAGGAAGTTCTAGCTATAACCCAGAGGTAGCCATAAGGCAGACGTACAGAGGAAAGAGATGATGAGGCTGGATGATTGTGTTTGGGATCAGGAGTATGCACAGGTGTAAATGTATTTGCTCTTGTCACGTTGTTTTATGGCAAGTGAATCAGTAACAAATTGAGTGAAATGAAACAAATGGTAGAGCTCAATCCTGCCAGGAGCTGAGCATCTCCTGGAAGAGCTGAGAGCCTTCAGCTCCCAATTAAATTCACCCCTGTGCATAGTGGCAGCACAAGGTCTGTGCAATACTCAAGTCTCACATGAGCACTATTTTGAGAGCGTAAGTGGCACATATGCCCATTGTGCTAACCCTTCTCACAGGAGAGAATTTCACTCAAACTGGAAGATATTTAGTGAGTGAAACAGGGATAAGGGGTTCTGTTATAACTGATTTTAAGGGATAAGAACATAAGAACGGCCATGCTGGGTCACACCAAAGGTCCATCTAGCCCAGTATTGTGTCTTCTGACAGTGGCCAGTGCCAGGTGCTTCAGAGGGAATGAACAGAACAGGTAATCATCCAGTGATGGTTTACATTGTTCTGTATTATTCTATGTTCCATCATTCTGATAATTTTATCTCTTGCTTTTGTTTCTTTGTTATAAGTATTTTATAGCACTTAGTTGTGGGTTTTTGTGGTTTGTCTGTAATACAAAGGAAATTATATATATATAAAAAAAAGTATTAGCACAAACACGTCACAGACACATTCTCAGTTATATCACCGAGTAAAGTGACTTGTTGTAGTGCTTTCCAACGACAAGTACTTGCAATAACTTGTAATTCTCCAAACAAGAAGATTCCCTCCCCCTACACTTAGGGGTGCAAATACACTGGTGCACTCAAGTAGATGGCAGCGGCTCCACGTCTACCTAATTATTTCTGTGCTCTTGTTTAGGCTCCCAGTAGGTTCTATGCTTTTGAGCACCACCTGGTGAAAATATCCCCATGCACACAGGTGTAGCATTCCCAGTTAGATGGGAAGCATTGCATATTTTACAGCATATCCTTTTGATAGCTAGCTAATGTAACCAAAGGAAGGAATACTGCACCAGCAGAGGAGCAAAGGAGAAGGGTACTACCTCGTCTGCCCCCAAAATAATTTCATTTAAGGGAGTCTGATCCACTGACTTTAATGGAGGTTGGATCAGGCCTGGGTTAGATCCCAAGCAGCACTGGTGGCAAGAGGATTAATAATAGAGTAATTCTTCTAGGATCCAGTTCTGAATCAAATGATTCATCTTCTCCTATCAGTTAGTGAACTTCCCCTTTTCTGCAACTAGTCTGCAGTGTGTGAGGCATCTTCCGTTACCTGCCTAGATCAATAATATTGGCACTGGAGTTTTGGTCTGTTTTTGAGAGGCATCATGACCGAGCTTTAGCAATAATTGTAAATCAGCTTGAGTCCACCTACCTTCCCAAAGTACTAAAGGAGACATTCATGCCACAGGCAGGAAATTAGTTAGACCTGGATTTTAGAGAGACAAGGTAGGTGAGGTAATATGTTTTATTGGACCGACTTCTGGTAGTGAGACCAACTTCTGCTTAAGCGTCAAAGCCTTATCCAGCCATGGGAAAGGGCCTGGCTTCAGTGTGTGATGATGGTAGCACTTTGTCTGCTTTTAGCTGAGCCCCTTCCTAGATGTGGAGGTTAGTGCTGCCCCTCCCATTAGTACTCAAATGCCTGTTGCCTTCAGAGAGTTAATAAAAACAAGTACAATCCCTGTTTTCCCCTTAGAAGTCAGTATCAGGGCACGCTTGTGCCCCACTGGCAAACCAGAATGTTTGGCTTGGGATCAGAAACATGCTTTTGAAAATTAGTAAGAAGCTTTCCTAGAAATATTCTTGTGATTCTTACCTCACATGTCTACCAGCCAGACTGAAGGATGGATCTATCCCAGGGGCGGGCAAACTTTTAGGTCTGAGGGCCGCATCGGGTTTCCAAAATTGTATGGAGGGCCGGAGGTTGTGCCTCCCCAAACAGCCAGTGGTGGTCCGGCCCCAGCCCCGCCCCCTATCTGACCCCTCCTGCTTCTCACCCCTGACAGCCCCCCCAGAACTCCTGCCCCATCCAACCCCCCCGTTCCCTGTCCCCTGACAGCCCCCGAACTCCCGCCCCTGACTGTCCCCCGCCACCCCATCCAACCCCTCTTCTCATTCCTGACTGTCCCCACAGGACCCCTGCCCCATCCAACCACCCCTTCTCCCTGACCGCCCCTGGAACCCCTGCCCCTGACTGCCCCCTGCTGCCCCATCCAACCCCCTGTCTCATTCCTGACTTCCCCCACAGGACCCCTGCCCCCATTTAACCCCTCTTTCCTGCCCTCTGACCTCCCTGACCCCTATCCACACACCCCCCCGCCCCCTGACCAACCCCCTGTACTCCCCTGCCCTCTATCCAACCCCCCTGCTCCCTGCCCCCTTACCGCGCTGCCTGGAGCACCGGTGGCTGGCGGCGCTATAGCCGTGCCGCCCGGCTGGAGCCAGCCACGCCACCGCACAGCACAGAGCCAGGCCGGGCTCAGCAGCTGCGTTGCCTCAGCAGCTTGCAGCCCCGCCACCCAGAGCATTGCGCCGGCGGCGGAACGAGCTGAGGCTGCAGGGGAGGGGGGACTGCGGGGGAGGGGCCGAGGGCTAGCCTCCCGGGGCAGGAGCTCAGGGGCTGGGCAGGAGGGTCCCGTGGGCCGGATGTGGCCCGCGGGACGTAGTTTGCCTCCCCACCTCCCCCACATCCTCTCCCATGTACCCCAGCCTCAGATTATAGTAGCTCCAGATATATATAGCTCCAGATATCTAAATATGGGAGTGTTGAAAAAATCTGAACAATAAATAGTAGTTAACCTGGCAGTCACTGGAAAGTGAACAAGTGGGAACAGCTGACCCTCATTCATAACCTGCCAGATGTAGAGGAATCTGGTTCTCCACCCATGGAATAGCTCGCAAATCCCAGGAGAGTAAACTGTCAGAATATTTCATGGTTGTGATAGGATAATCCCACCAAACAGGGGAGGTTAACAAATTGAAACATATTCTAGTCCTCCAAAGGAAGATTCATGACAAATGAATCACCAGCCCCTCCAGGGGGAAATTCAACAAGGCAACCATCAGATCTTCAATGGACCTTTTAATTCACATTCTAGCCCAGCCTTCCATCTGGACAGATACCTTAGCTACCTACGCTAACTAGAAATACTAAGTCCCCTTATTGTGAGGGATTCACAAGCTTGTGACAGCTGTCAAGTAGTGACAGATAGTTGAGGCAGGAAAAAGCTTCCATGTCCCGTGTTGATAAGGAAGTTGGGTCCAACTTCTTGGGGAGTATGGACTGGGGTAGGAGGAAGTCTGGCAACATCAGAGCTAGGGTTGCCATAATTTAAATTTAGATATATAATGCCATTGTTATAAACTGGTGGAGGTTATCCAAGACCTACTCCCTTCCTAACACTTCCCACATAAGTCCTGGCTACCTTAAGACTCGGGACTGTCTTTGGAAAACATCCACAAAGAACTTTGTGGATTTATTCATGTTCTCCATCCATAGTTGACTAAAAAGACTTAAAACAAAAACTGGCCTCAGTTGATCTTTGGTTTAAAAATCACACAAGAAAAATGCTTAATCCAGGTTTAAAAGAAAAAAGGCCAGGGGGCATTTCTTAATTCCAGCTCATTTTCAGCTTGTTCTCGATAAGCGCATTACCTTCTTAATTAAATTTTTGCCTATTAATTTTGCTTTGCTTTATTAAACCCTCCTGTGTACCTCTGGAAGGAGTCTCTAGAGGGAGCTAAAAGTCTTTTGAAAGGAAGCAGTGTGATTTATCAATTTGTCAAAACCTCAAGTCTGCTGCTGCAATGAGCAGCAACATACTGTCAGCAAATCCTGAGCACAAAAGAAAGGCATTTGTCCCTCTCTAGGAGGAACACTGTGTGACTTCACTTCCTTGTAGAATTTACTACCTGATTACAAGAATTTGTCACCCATCTCAGAAAAATATTAGTCCCCTTTTCAGACTTGTTCCCTAACCATACATTGCTCATAAATTACTTAAAATATATAGTCTAAAAAGCCTATTTCTGATGGCCTCAAAGATCCAATGCAGGCAATTGCCCTTCTAAATCTTAAGACTTCTGTCTTTCAGCAGTGTGGATTTCCACAC